CTTCTCAGGCTGTGGGATTGTCTATATGTCTCTTCTGCAGTTTCTATAGTAGATTGCAAGTTATAGGCTTGGCTATCTACAAAAACCAGCATTTTCTGTATTAATGTTGGTTTTGATCATTTGTGTTCAAGGGTATGTGGTTACGTGGGTTGACCTTCCTGCTCCTCTTCTTGTGAATTTGAAAAAGTTTTTTGGCAACTGGCTAGGATTTGCATCTTACCTTTCTGTGTCTCTGTGCAAGTCTTACTGAAATATTTCTGAGTCTAAGACCAAACATTATAAAAATTCTTTTTGTTTTAGTAACGAGAAAAGAGATGGCAAAACGAAAATTTTAGCACTTGTTTACTTTCACATAGTGGGAAAACAAAAGTTACAGCATTAAATAGTTAAAATCACAGATTAGAGCAGTTAATTGATACATAATGAAAATGGAACATTTAAAGAATATTGACTGGGGAAAAAAGAGAATATTGACTGGAATAAAATTACTCAGGAATGAGTATTGATATGTTTATTGACAGGTTTTTCTTTTCTTTTTTTTTTTTTTAAATAGTGGGTTTTGCCATGAGGTCAAATAGTAGGTTTTTGTTTATAAAAAACAAAACTGGTTTTTATAAAAATTTTAATGAATTTTAGCAACTTGAAGTCTGTAAAATATGAAGGTACTAATTATACTTTATTATATTCAATAAAATGTATATTACTGATAATAAAAAATACTTAACCTACTGAGGAAAATTGAATTTTAAAATGTAGCAAAAATGACTTTAATGGGAAAGGTTATAGGATATTGGAGTAGGAGAAGATGATGATAGGAAAGTGGAGAAGGTTATCCTAAAAATAAGCTGTAGAGATAAATGATTTGACTAGTATTTTAAGAGTCCAGTAAGGTTCTAGTTTGAATTTAGGATTGAATGAAAACTGAAATGAATTCTTACATTGTAAAACTGCTTTGGAAATGAGATCCTTCTAGATCAAACCGAAAGCATAAGACATACATAAACTCAAAATGAAGTTAACTGTATAAGGAAATATGTGATTTCAGTGCCAGATGAATGATAATGCCAGGGAATTTTTGAGGAAATATTATTTCCTTGTTTCTTGTTCAGCCTTCTTTTGGGCTATATTGTGTTGGATTTAAAAAGATGAGCACATTCAATTGATTTTATGTTTTTTTTCTTCCCCTCCTCAAATCCTGCAGGACGGACAGGACTGGTTGGCCGGGGGCTTTTGGGGCGATGGGGCCCAAATCATGCTGCAGATCCAATTGTAACCAGGTAACAACCAAATAAATATTTTAGTAGCAAAAAGCTAAGTAATTGGAAAAATATGGACTGTAGCTGTGTGCGTGCATAGGTAAGGGTGGTGTATGTATACCTGTATGCACACACACACCCTCCACATATACATATAGATATATGTATGTGTACATATATATACTATGTGTTTATTTATGCGTACATGTATATATGTATGTTTGTGTGTGTGTGTGTGTGTGTGTGTGTATATGTATGTATATATATATATATATATATATATATAGATATATATATATATGAAGGATCTTCTGGGAGTTCTTGAAAAACGCATATTATGGGACCAGCAGATGTTGTAATAGTTACGTTGCTGGACTCCCATGTATTCAACCACAGTTAGAGGTTAAAGTCCCAGACCTGGTGTCTTGAAACATGCTGGGCCAGGGAACCAGCAGTTAGCGTAATGGCTATGTCGCTGGACTCCCACGTAGTCAACCGCGGTTCATGTCCAGGACCCGGTGGCTTAAAACTCACGCCGGGCGCGTGTGCGTGTGTGCCCAAGATCCCAAGAGGAGAATGGAGGAGAAGAGATTGCGGCGTGACTATCCCACGTGGGGGGTGATTTCTCGCTTTCTGTCTCTCTGTCTCTCTCTGTCTGGCGAGCGCACACGCCCTATAGCGAAAACCCCTCCAAAAAAAACCCCCAAAAAACAAAAACATGCTGGGCCCGTGTGTGTGCGTGTTCAAAGTCCCAAGAGGAGAATGGAGAAGAAAGGATTGTAACGCGGCCATCCCTCCTGGGGGCTGATTTCTCACTTTTTGTCTCTCTGTCCCGCCAACGAGTGCACGCATCCTATAACAAAATATCTTTTAAAAAATAAAAAAGGAAGATTAATATTATGAAAAAATTATAAATGGATCTAAAAAATTTTTACACCAAAATAAATTTGTATTTTAATTCCATTTTTATATGAATCTTTCAAAATCCCTTTATACATATATAAGTGCATATGCACACACACATACACACACATACAATTTATATTTTAAAGGAATTTTATGTAAAATTATAGTGATGTGATATAAACATAAAGCTTTAGTTTTAGGTTGTATAATATAAGTTAGCCATTATCTAAACAAAGTTAATACACCAGATATTTTTAAATTTATTACTCTTTTTCATTTTATTTTTCTTTATTCATGATACAGTGCCAGACCCCACATAGATGTTGTTTCTTAAACACATTATTTTATGACTTTATTTTGTGCTTATTCTGCTGTCTGGCATCTTAAAAACAGATGTTATGGGGCCAGCAGATGGTGTGATGTTAAGGTGTTGGACTTCCACACGGCTGACCGCAATTTGAGTCCTGGACCTGGCAGATTACTTTCTCTATCTCTTTCTTTTTCTCTGGTGAGCGTATAAGCCCTATAGCAAATTTAAAGACAATAATAATAACAAAATTTAATTAAAAAAATGTTATCTTTTTGTACTAATTATTCTTTTATTTCTACTTCACTCATTGAACTTTTATCATGTCTTATAATTATTCATTACATGTCTAGCTCTTCTGCTAGACCATAAGCTCTTTCAGGGAAGGAATGAATGAATCGGATGGGGAAATCAATACAAAGAAATGTGGAAACTAATACCAAACTAGTTTATTCTACTGGGTCTTACCCAGAGTTATGATTAAATGATAGACTTTCTTGTTTTGATTTAGTACTGGAAGGCAGATCTTTTTTTAAAAGCTCATTTATTTATTCCCTGAATGAGAGAGAAATATAGCACCTCCAGCAAGATCCTAACGCTGTGATCTACCCTCTGCTTCAGTGAGCATGCACTGATGGCCCTTTATACACTGAGGGTGGTCTCTGGACACAAACTGCTAACCTTCCACTGGGGGTCCACCTTGCAGAGTGTTGCATTTTGTTATTACACTACTATCTGGTCCCAGGAGTTTAAGTCTTTTTTCTTATTTTTTTTTGAAAGAATTATTCCTCTCCCCCCCAAAAAAAAAGAATTATTCCTTTAATTTTATTCATCATCATCATTATTGTTTTAGATTTGCTACAGGGCATATGCACCTACCAGAGAGAGAGAGAGAGAGAGAGAGAAAGTGAGAAAGCAGGCTGCCAGGTCTGGGACTCGAACTGGCATTGGTCATGTGGGAGTCCAGTGCCTTAACCACCATGCCACCTGCTGTCCACTGAGTTCAAATCTTTATTTTTGCACGAGAGTCCATTAAGACGTTTCTTAAAATTGAAGGATAGTGGGACCAGCAGATGGTGTAATGGTTACATCATTGGACTCCCAAGTAGTCGATCGCTGTTCAAACCCTGGACCTGGTGGCTTAAAACTCATGCTGGGAGTGTCTGCCTGAATGCCCACAATCCTGAGAGGAGATTGGAGGAGAAAGGCTTGCAGTGTGGTTATCCCCCCTGGGGCGTGATTTCTAACTTTCTGTCTCTTTCTCTGGCGAGCACACATACCCTATAGCAAAAATCTCTTTCTCAAATAAGAATAAATAAATCATTTGGAGGGTAGAGGTTGTTGTGGAGTATAAGGAGGGGGAGATTTATCAGTGTCTCTGGAGAACAGGCTGCAACTAGGAAAAGTGTATTCTGAGTTGCTACCAGCTCATTTGGGTGCCTGGTCCTTTCTGGGAAGGTTGATGCCAAAATTACTGCAAGGGGCAAGGCAAGGAAGACCCCAACTGAGCCAGTACTCACGCTTCATTAGCCTCCTTGGGTCCGCTACACCTTAGATTTGAGCGTGGCTCCTACTAAGAGCGTTGTGTGTATATCCAACCTGCTGACTGGTTTACATGATGACTTTTGAAATAAATTCAATCTTTAAAACAAGCAAGCATAAAAGAAAAAGTGTATCTTGAAGGTAGCATTGTCTGGATACTTTTACAAAACTATATGGAATTCAATTCAAAATATGAAGTTTTGTTAAAGGTCCAGGTGAGACTTTTTTCTTTGTCAAAAGAGGGCATACAGTTGAGAGGCATGCCTTTGACACCAACTGAAACCGTATCATATAATTTGCTTTACTGATAACACAGTGTAAACTTTTAAAAGCAAGTATCGTCAGGTTGTTCTTACTACTTTTAATTTTTTTTTTTTTTGGAGAGGTTTTTGCTATAGGGTGCGTGCGCTCGCCAGACAGACAGAGAGAGAAAGCGAGAAATCACCCCCCAGGGGAGATGGCCACTCCACAGTCCCTTCTCCTCCACTCTCCTCTTGGGATGTTGGGCACACACGCACACGCACCCGGCATGAGTTCTAAGCCACCGGGCCCAGGACGCGAACCGCAGTAGACTACATGGGAGTCCAGCGACATAGCCATTACGCTAACTGCTGGTTCCCACTACTTTTAATTTTTAAAAAAGTATCCTTTAAAAAAACCCTACTTTTATAACCTTTCCTTTAAATTCTTTTTTGCTTTTAAACTTTCTTTTTCTGATAGTATTTTTATTTTTAAATAGTAAAAATTGTTTATAACTTGAATTTTTATTACAGAGAATACAATAGTCTTTATGTAAGGAAAAAAAATTGTCCTGGTTTGTAAAGTTCTAAAATATAGGATGTTTTTTCTTTTTTTTAAGAGAGGTTTTTGCTACAGGGCGTGTGCGCTTGCCAGACAGAGAGAGACAGAGATACAGGAAGTGAGAAATCACCCCCCGGGGGGATGGCCACGCCGCAATCCCTTCTCCTCCATTCTCCTCTCGGGATCTTGGGCACGCACGCACATGTGCCCTGCGTGAGTTTAAGCCACCGGGTCCAGGCCTCGAACCGTGGTCAGCTACGTGGGAGTCCAGTGACATAGCCATTATGCTAACTGCTGGCCCCCTAAAATATAGGATGTTTCTAATAAACCCAACAGTAAAACTAACTGATTTGAGGAAAACTTATATATATATTGTTATTAAGAAAAATATATCTTTTTTATCCTCTTTTTTGCTAGAGGGTGCATGTGCTCATCAGAGAGAGACAGAGAGAGAGGTAGAGTGAGAAAATACCCCCATAGGAATGATCATGCCACAATCCCTTCTCCATCTCTCTCTCTCCTTCTGAGATTTTGGGTGTACATATATATGTGCCAGCGTGTGTTTTCAAGCCACTATGTCCAGGATTCAAACTGTGTGGTTGGCCATATGGGATCTGCCTGCCTTAGCTACTAGACCACAGAGCCAGCCCCCTCCCCAAATATATTTTTATAACTTTGTCTCAACCTGAGATAGAACCTTGACCTTTGTTCTAAATCAGTTGTTATTCACAGGTGGAAAAGAGATAGCAGTGGAAATAAAATCACCCATCCTCTTTCTGGAAAACACATCTTACAATTTGTTGCAATAAAAAGGAAAGATTGTGGAGAATGGGCAATCCCAGGGGTGAGCATTAAAATGAAATAACATTAATGTGTGCATTCTTTTTAGTTATTTACATTAAGGTTATTGTTTGTGGATCTTTTTTTTTTTTCACTATACTTATCCTCTATTCTTACCTCCTTCAATTGATTTCTTTTGTCTGTTATCGTAATAAAGTGTTATTGTCAATGCTAAGTTTTGGGTAATGTAAGACTGTTAGACTCCCTCGGGAAAGAACATGGACTTTGGAGTTAACAGCTAAGACTGTATTCTGCCTTTGCACTTAACAGCTGGGTGACAACCGAGTTCAGGCCCTCATTTTTAATCATGCCTATCTCATAGGATTCTGAAATACAACCATTTAAACACCTAGTATATAGCAGGCACTCACTGATGTTGCTCCTACCTCAGAACTGAACCCTCATTCTAAGTCCAAAGTAGTAGTCGTAGCATTTTTTATTGAATTCTGATAAATTTAGATGTGGGGGAAAAAAAAGATAGTTTAAAAATTAATTTCTATCAAATCATCAAGAAGAGTATACATTTCTTGGCCTGTAATTTGAATTATGCCAGTGATGTGACCTTTTCAAATGTGTGTATGTGTGGAAGAGGGTTTTATATTATATTCCATGTTGTGAAATGAAGGTAGTTTGAGGTGAGGATAACTTGATAAACATACTGCCATCTCCAAGAATGTATTTTTCTTTGTAGGAGAGAAATGAAATGGAAATAAAGATCTCAACTGACTGATAAAAGCATAGGCTAAGCCAGATAGTTAAACTTCGGTCATCCTTAGTACAATAATGTAGTAATGACTTCGTGGTAGGATCTTATATTTGTATTGTCATTTGAAATTTTGATCAATCAGAAGGCTGTTGTCAATGATATCATTTTGAGAGCTATTCATCTGACCAGTGTAGTCTGGATATTTTCCTTTTATCAGCTAATATTTTAGGTATTGAGGACATAATAGAGCAACATAAACATCCCTTCTTGCTGCCCATATTCCATTAGGAAAGACAGATAATATAAGATAAATAAGTTAAATAGATTGTATGTTAAAAGGGGATAAGTATTAAAAAAAAACAACTAAGCAAAGTAGGATATTAGTATTTAAAATTTGCAATTTTAGACAGGGCAGTTAGCAAAAACCTCCCAGTGAGAAGGTAACATTGGAGGTGTTGCTGAAGGAGGTGTTGCTGTCTGGGGAAAACCATCTTAGACAGAGTTAATGCAGATGCAGAGCACTCAGGCGGGAGTATGTCAGGCACGTCCAGGGAGCACTGAGGTCATTGCAGCTGGAAGGGAATGAACAATGGGTGAAGAGTCAATTGGCTATAGTCTTCCGTGCCTTCAGGCCTTGTTTCCTTAGTTTGAGTTTGGAAAGTACAGTGCATAAATTTGATTGGCTCAGTTTGCCATGGGCTAACCTTGGACCCATTACTGTGGCCAAATATATGAGGTACCCTAATATTTCTAGAAACAAATGGTTTAGAGAAAAGTATATCATGGGCAAACAGAATAATGAGTATCTACTGTATCATTCAATAATTATTTAAGTAAATCAAAGCTCAGGTTTTTTGTTTTTTGTTTAAATGTGACTTAGGGGATGGTGGATCCAGGAGAGAAGATCAGTGCCACACTGAAGAGAGAATTTGGTGAGGAAGCTCTTAATTCTCTACAGAAATCCAGTGCTGAAAAGAAAAAAATAGAGGAACAGTTGCATAGACTTTTCAACCAAGAACATCTAGTGGTAAGAAATGGTGGTTTGTAGAAGGAATTTAGTCCTGTGAATTAAAGTAACTTAAAGTTCACCTGGAAATCTGGCAAACTCTTCTCTAAAGTAAAGTATTTGTAAACTTGAAACAACTTTAATTCTAAGTCTTAAAACATACCCATAAAAACAACTTAAATTGTAGGTCTTTATTGTAAATATATTTCTATTTATAAAGGTCTACAGCTTAATTTGAGGTCAGTTATATAATTTATTGTATTGCTTTTCCCTCTGAGCTTTCGTTTAGAGTATGTGTGAGCTAATGTGACAAATAAGCTATTTTCTTACCTGTTGAGTATTGTATCCATGGATACAAATAATTTTTTTGAGAGTTATTCATCTAATCAGTGTAGTTTGAGTATCTTCCTTTTAATCAGTGAATATTTTAGATATTGAGGACATAATAGAGCAACATAAACATTTTCTGTCTTGCTGCTCAACAAGATTTTTTTTTAAGTTCAGCTCCTTCTGAGAAAATATTTACATTTTGGATTAGGTAGAAATTCTCCATTTTTAAATAATTATATATTTAATTTTATTTATTATTATTTAAAAAAAATTGTCTGTAGGGCGTGTATTCTCTCCAGAGAGACAAAGAAAGAGAAAGTGAGAAAGCAAGCTTCCAGGTCTAGGACTTGAACCATGATTGGCTCTGTGCCTTAAACTACCATACCACTTGCTGAAATTTTCCTTTTGTGATCAATGATCTTTTCCTTTTTTATTATTTTATTTTATTCTTTTTTCCTTTTTAAAATTTTTTTTCCAGAGGGCATGTTGGAAAGACAGAGAGAGAAAGTGAGAAAGTATATCCCGTAGGGAATGATCACACTGTAGTCCCTTCTCCATTTCTCCCTCTTTTCAGGCTTTTGGTCATGCACACATATTTGCCTGGCTTGTTTCTCAAACCACCAATCCAGGACTCAAACCATATTGTAGGCCATGTCGGATTCAGCCACTTTAACTACCATGCCATGTGCTGGCCCACATTGGTAATCTTTTTAAGGTCTTTTTTCTTTTGGCTTTTGTGTCATGGCTTTATTTTCATCCCAGAATTGGGATTTATTAATTATTTATTCCTGATGTTCAAATTTTGGAGGTCACATTTGTGGTAGATGACTAGATCTAAATCCTTTCATCTATTAATAGCTTAAGTATTAATTTTATTTTTATTTATAGATCTCCTTTAACAAGAAGAGTCTTCCTTCTGTTTCTGAAATTACTAAAACAAACAAAAACTTAAAATTGTGGACTTTCTTAAAAAACTATATTGCACAAATTTGATTACTTTCAAATTCTGAAATTGACTCTGAAGTGTTGAGTGTTTTGTGAATTTTAACTTTAAAAACTATAATAGTAAATAAATAAAATTGCAAGAGGGTGTGCCTGCGCGTACTTGTGAGAGAGAGAAAGAGAGAGAGTAAAAAAGCTGCCACCCTCCTGTGGAGGTGCAGTCGTACGACAGCCCCTTCTCGTTTTCTTCATCCTGTTGAGATTCTGGGCATGCACTCACATGTGGCCAGTATATTTTTCTTTCTTTCTTTCTTTCTTTCTTTCTTTCTTTCTTTCTTTCTTTCTTTCTTTCTTTCTTCCTTCCTTCCTTCCTTCCTTCCTTCCTTCCTTCCTTCCTTCCTTCCTTCCTTCCTTTCTTTCTTTCTTTCTTTCTTTCTTTCTTTCTTTCTTTTTTTAAGGTTTTGCTGTAGGGTGCTTACACTCACTGGTGAGAGACAGAAAATAGGAAAGTGAGGATCACCCCCGGGGGGATGGCCATGCTGCAGTACCAGTCTCCTCTCTGGATTTTAGGCATATACCCACATGTACCTGGTGTGAATTTCAAACTACTGAATCTGGAAATCGAACCATGGTTGGCCATGTGGAAGTCTAGCACCTTAACCATCACGCCACCTGTTGGCCTCAATTTTTACCTTTTTGAGTCTAGTGTAGATAGCATGTTTGTGCGTAATTACCCATTCCTGTTTCACACTAGACTTTTTTTTTTTTCCTTGTTTACCTCCTTTTAAAAACAGATATATAAAGGTTATGTTGATGATCCTCGGAACACTGATAATGCATGGATGGAGACGGAAGCTGTGAACTATCATGATGAAACAGGTAATTTTATACTTACGCTTACACTGAATGGGATTGGAGGATCGCTTTAAGCCCAGGGCCAGCTATAGTGATACAGGGGTAACTGCACACTTTGCAGTGCTAAACCCACACGGGATAGTCCCAGGTTTCTCTCCTGAGGTCTCCCCGTACGTCCAGCGTGGATGTGTGCGTATGCCCGTGATCTAGGCTGGAGGTGGATTGTGGTATGAAGAGCCTGTTGGGGTGCCTATGTCTCTCTCATAGAATTGGGTAAATAAAAAAAAAATGTAAATCCAGTAGCATAATAGGGTGCGATTAAATCTGGACTGTATTAGCATTTTAAGCCAGTTTACTATTGATTGTAGAAGTCTATTTATATGTAAATTGTTGGTATTAAAAGAGTATGTAGAAGAAAGCCTCAAAAGTGTTATCACTAGCAACTGAATTTCCTTGATCCATTCATTGGTAGCATATAAATAAAGGTCAAAATTATGAGCTGAAATTATCTGCTTGATAATTGTCTGCTTCTTTGTATAGTATGATTCCATTTGTGTAAAACAAAAGCCAATGGGGAATTTGAGTGGGAAGTATGGCAATAATAAAGGAAGTGGGATTTATATAAGTCTTGCAGTTTGAAATACTTTTATAATGAGCATACATCTTTTTTCCTTTTTTTTTTTTTTTTAATAGTATTTGCTGTAGGGTATGTGGCTTGGTGAAGAGAGACAGAGATGGGAGAGGGGAAGGAAATTGAGAAAGGACCCTACAGAGGGGATAGCCATGCTACATTTCCTTCTCCATTCTCCTCTTTTGGGCATATATGCATACATGCCTGGCATTTTTCAGACTGCTGGGTCTAGGACTACGAAGTTGGCCATGTGGGATCCAGCTGCCTTAACTACCATGCCACCTGGCCAGCCAGTAGTAAGCTTGCATTATTATTATTATTTTTTTTTTTTGAGAGGTTTTTGCTATAGGGCTTGTGCACTCGCCAGACAGACAGAGAGAGACAGAGAGACAGAAAGCGAGAAATCACCCCCTAGGGGGGATGGCCACTCCGCAACCCCTTCTCCTCCACTCTCCTCTTGGGATCTTGGGCACGTATGCACACGTGCCTGGCGTGAGTTTTAAGCCACCGGGTCCGGGACGCAAACCACGGTCGACTACGTGGGAGTCCAGCAACATAGCCATTATGCTAACTGCTGGTCCCCAGCATGCATTATTAAAACAGAGCCATACCAGCAAATTTTTGACTACTGAAAAAATTTTAAATGATTTTTTTTCCTGGTCTTTATGGATTTTAAAAATGGAGTCATCATATTTGTTACTACAATGGGAAATCTGCTATGTTAAAAAATGATTATTTAAAAAAATTTTTTGTTTGTTAATAAACCAGATGGTGCATGTACTTGCCAGAGACAGACAGAGAAAGTGAGAGAGAAGAGAGGGACAGAACATCCCCCCAATGGAACGTGATCATACTTCAATCCCTTTTCTTCCATTTCTCTATCATAGCAGGATTTGAGGCATACACACACATGTGCCCAGTGTGTTTTTCAACCCACTGGGGACAGGATTTGAACCTCAGTCTGCCATGTGGGATCTCACTTTCTTAGCCACTAGGCTATGGGACTAGCCCAGTTATGATCTTTATACAATGGATGGCTTTCCTTGAAACATTACTGCTGAATTGGATGACATTTTGTCTTGTTTTTATCTGAAGTGTAATGAAGTGAGGTGATCTTAAGGAGAGAACCGATGATCCACTCATGATGCTTCTCTAAGCTGTGTGAACATGTACCAATCACTTACCCTCTTGGACTATGTTTTTAAATTTTAAAATGGGCTAAAATGAAATCATCCCTCACTTATACAGTCTTTCATTTGTTGAACTCGGGCGAAACTCCCAGGACTATTTCCATCCTATTTGTACAACTGCTCTAGTGTTTTAGGAGAGTTTATCCTTCTGGTATTGAGCACTTAGAAGACATATGCACATGCAGTTGAGAAGCAATTCTGTACAATGTTAGTGCAGATAGATTTGTTAACTATTTATTTTTGGAGTTAAAAACAATAACTATTCTCTGGAGGTTGATGATGTATTTACGGGTTCACAGTTTTCACTCTTCCTTTCTTTCTTTTTAAATTAAAAAAAAAAATTCTGTTAATTGCAAAGTTTCTGCCATATTCGAGTTTGGTTTTGATGCTTGCTTTGTCTCTTCAGACTGTATTTTGCCTTTTAGCATGCCTTGTAGAGTCTTTTGAAAGCTGGGTATGATTTATTCAGTAAAAGGAACTAAGTAAGGTAAATATGCCATTAGTGACAGGTTTTATGTTTGTCTGGCCAGGAGTTAGGCTGTGTTTATTGTTTGCATAGGTGTAGGTGCCATAGACTAAAATGTCTTCTGGTATCCTTATTTTTATCTCTCTTGTTTTTTCATAGCTAATTATTGTTTTTAACTTTTTTGATACATTTTGTAAAATTTATCTCTTCTGTGAGAGAGAGAGAGAGAAACAGGGAGAGAGAAAGAGAGAGGACCCCCTGAAGGATCTTGGTGCTGCGATTCACTCCTGCCTCAGGCTGCCAAGACCACAGGCATTCAGAGCCAATGTGTACCATACCAGGAAAAGTTGGGATGCGAACCTGGGACTTTCCTACTTCTGCGTCCCAGAGCATTGCATTACTGCTCTGCTACTGCCTGGCCTCCTAAAGAGAACATCTTTCTTATTTGTGCTTTAACCTAAACTTTAGGAAACTAAGTTAAAATTGGGCATTTTGGAATATTCTAGTTTTTATTTCATTTAGCCAGCCACCTACTACAATGATGATGTAAGATTATTTTTAGTAGGAATACTTGAAGATATAAGGTTACACTGAAAAGAAAGAAAAGATATGAATATATAAATTCCTTTTTCTTGATGATTTTGTTGTTGTTGTTTTTCCCCTTGGTAACCAGGTGAGATCCTGGATAATCTTACCCTAGAAGCTGGAGATGATGCTGGAAAAGTGAAATGGGTGGACATCAGTGATAAACTCAAGCTTTATGCCAGTCACTCTCAGTTCATCAAACTTGTGGCAGAGAAGCGAGATGCACACTGGAGTGAGGACTCGGAAGCTGACTGTTCTGGGTTATAACTCGTCTTCATGTAATCAAAGGCCATCCACGGTCATATCCTCCCAAAAGAGGCAGTGCCACTGATCACATGTCAGAAAAAGGACAGGGTAGGTTACTGGGAATTGTTTTACTCACTTTTGAAATCATTTACGTTGAGAATTTTCTGGGCAAAAGGAATATAACATCTTATTTTGTATATATTCTATTTAAGCATTGCTTACACCAGATTTAAACAATGGATGCTGTTTGAAGAATGATAATCAGAATAAAGATAAATTTATAATCAATAATTTCTGTTTTCTGTCTCATTTTTGTTTGTCAATTCTTTTCTCTCCCACTGATCTTGAGTCTTGAAGGATGTATCTGCTACATCAGACTCCTTTAGGAGGAACACTGCCATGGGATGTATAGTTTAAAGTCTATCATGCTTTTCTTTAAATTAGTTGCTTTGCATTTTAATTTATTAAAAATTTTTTTTTAATTGCCGGAGGGCACACATGCTTGCCGCACAGAGAGACAGAGAGCGAGAAAGCAACTTTGAATGGGGTATGGCCATGACGCAGTGTCTTCTTCATTTCTCCATCCTGTTGGGATTTTGGGCACGCATGTACACACATCCAGAATGTTTTTCAAGCTGCTTGGGATGACATTTGAACTGAAGCTGGCCATGTGGGATCCAGCTCTCTTAACATCTAGGCCATGGGGCCGGCCAGCTTTGTATTTCTTTACATGATTGTGTTGATGCTGATTCCAAAAGTGGACACTTTATATGTCTTGACTTTATAGAGTCATCAATTTCATGAAGAAGCTTCAATTACTCTTTTGTTCAATAAAGATCAAGGTAAATGAGTAAGAGCCCATATTCTCATTTTCAAAAGTTTTAAATTGAAAAAAGTTGAGGAAATTAGTCATTTAAATCCATATGTTGATTTCATGCTACTGTATCTACTATGTCATAAGTCAGTAAATAATGGATGCTTAGAAAGGAGTTGAAATATGGCAAGGATAGAGGGAGGTCTTTGTGAGTTAAAGTATTTTGTTGGAAAGGGAATGTTAAGGATTGAATTAGGTTTTTGAAAGACATGGTCAACATCCTAAATAGCAGAGTTGGTATTCTAGGGGCCCTTAGAAACAAGGAAGAGGGAAGAAAGACAATACTGTTTTGTCTCTGGATGTCTGAATCACATTCTGGCTATGTCTACACATTGGAAAGTCCCGTGATATTAACTCCTGTCAGCCTGAAAGAGGGACTGTCTTAATTCTATATTCATTCCAATTGGACTACAGGTGGGCCATCTGAAGAAAAGGTCGTTTAGGGGATAGGGACATGGTTATTTTCTTCAGAATTTGGAAAAGGCATTAAAAAGATATGCTGGGGCTGGCATGGTAGTTAAGGCACTGGACTCCTACATGGCCCACTGTGGTTCGAGTGCCGGACCTGGCACCTTGCTTTCTCTCTCTCTCTGTCTCCCTCTGATCAAATTAAAGGATTTAAATAAATCTTTTAAAAAAGATATTATGCTTACTCTGCAGCTAGCAAGCAGAACCTGGACTAAAGTAAAACAAGTTTTCTTTTTTGGGGGGGGAGGGGGAGCACGCAAGTTGATGTCAAAACTCCTTTGGTAGTAAACCTGAACTTAACTGACAGAAGTGTTTCCCCTCAGTGTAACTATAACTTGCTGTGGAACATTGGAATGTTCTATTTCAGAATGCCTTGAAATCCCTCTGGAAGGTTTCTATTTTACAAGGCTTCTGTATGGTATTAATTTTAAAAAATCCATAAACTCTGTCCCCTAGGGTTTGTAATAAGGGATTTACACTTGATAAGGTTGATCTGCTTGCAGATGAGGCTGGATAGCTTCTCCCAGCATCAAAGAGTTGACTTTTAGGACCACCACCATCCTGTCCCCTAGATCTAGCCAGGAGCCAGGACAAGCCAATCAGCAGCCATCTCTGAGTTCTGAGTGGCTCCATTCAGAGATTAGGATCACCAAAGACCTGCCCAGACGTCACCCTCCTGCCCCCCAGATCTAGCCAGGAGCCAGGTTAGAGCACCCTATTTATTCTCTCTCTCTCTCTCTCTTTTTTTTTTTTAAATTTTAAACTTCTGAGCTGTCTGCCGCTCTTTTGTCTTGCTAATTCTTACCTTTCCTCCTGCCCCCATAGGACAAGTTAATCAGCAGCCATCTATATCTGAGTTCTGAGCGGCCCCATTCAGGGATTAGGACCATCGAAGATCTGCCCAGACTTGTTTCCTGTCACCCAGATCTAGCCAGGAGCCAGGTTAGAACACCCTATGTATTCCGTCTCTATTTTAAATTTTTTTTTTTTTTTTAGCTCTCTGCAGCTCTTTTTGTCTTGCTAATTCTTACCTTTCCACGCTGCCCCCATAGGACATGCCAATCAGCAGCCATCTATATCTGATTTCTGAGTAGCCCTCATTCATGAAGTGTGCAGGCGCACCACACGGTTTTCATTTATTGCTCAAAAAGTTTTTTCTCTTCTGTTTTTTCTTTTTACCATTCTCACTTTTCTACTCAGCCTCCACACACTAATTTTCTGGACAGGTCTAGGTGTTCAGTAGCCAAATATCTGAATACTTTTAGGGTCAGATTGATCCTCATTCCATTAAATCAGCTATGCAAAGGCAGAAAAACAGTACTGTTTAGAGACTGCAGGTCACCTCCTCTGAATGCTCAGATTTAACTCCAAAAAAATAGGAAAAAAATGTATAATTCAGCAGATGACCAGAAACTACCATAGAGGCACAAGAAATATAAGAAACCAAGAAAATATCTCTCCCCCAAGGGAAAAGTTTAACTCCTCATTCTCCACAGACAATACTAGGAAACTCATGGAAATGTCAGATAAAGAATTCCGAATATTCATCGTGACAAAACTAACAGAGATGCAAGAGGAGAGAGACAATGAACTTCCGGAAGATGCAGGAGAAAAGAGACAATGAGTTCCAGGAGGTGAGGAAGTTCTTGTGAGATCTGAAAGAGGAAATACACATCATAAAAAAGGAATCAAACAGAACTCTTAGAGATAAAGGTTGTAATATGGAAATCAAAACCTCCCTTGAAAATATCAAAATCAGATTAGATCATGCAGAAGATCGAATCTCAGATGCAGAAGATAGAACCTCTGACCTAGAAAAATTCACCAAAAAGACAGAAAATAACCCCCCAAAATGAGAATAATATACGAGTAATACTAGATTCCATTAAATACCCAAACATCTTTATCATCGGTAGCCTAGAAGGTAAAGAAACTAATAAGGGCATAGGTAACCTATTCCATGAAATCCTGAAAGAAAATTTTCCAAACCTAGAGAGGCATTCAAATACCCAGACCCAAGAAATGCAAAGGACTCTACATTGAATCAACCCAAGAAGATCTTTCCCAACCTAAATTCTTTCAGGTTTTGTTTATCTGAGAATGTTTTTGTCTTTTTTTTTTTTTCCCATATGAAAGATAATTTTGCTGGGTATAGTATTCTTGGTTGATACTGTTTTTCACGTAACACTTTGAATATATTTTCCCATTCTTTCCTTGCTTGCATTGTTTCTGATGAAAAGTTCGACATTAGTCATGGGATATCCTTTTCAAAGTGACTTGGCCTTTGACTCTTGCCAAATTTAGTTATCTTGTCTCTTCCTGTAGTTTTGGTCAATCTGACTAAAACCTCTACAAAAGAAAAAAATTCTCTAAATTTGAAACTATTTACAGACACACTTAAGAAAGCTTGAACAATTCTCTGAAAAATGCCATTTACTTCTGTTTTATTACTTTTTTTGGAGAGGTTTTTATTTTATTTTATTTTATTTTTGCTACAGGGTGTGTGCACTCACCAGAAAGACAGAGAGAAACAGAGACAGAAAGTGAGAAATCACCCCCCAGGGGAGATGGCCACACCATAATCCCTTTTCCTCCATTCTCCTCTCGGGATCTTGGGCATGCACGCACGCATGTGCCCAGTGTGAGTTTAAGCCACCGGGTCCGGACTCTAACCGCGGTTGACTACATAGGAGTTCAGCAACATAGCCATTACGTTAACTGCTGGTCCTGGCATTTACTTCTGTTTAATATTTTTTCATTGTATTTATGTTTTTATTGTAGTTATCTTTAGGTTTATCTCTGGTAGATGATATTGATTTTCCTACTAAAGTAATAATACAATTTTATTTTAAATATTAATAGTTATGTTTAAATTGACATACAGATATCAGATTTTATTAAACTTTTATTTAAAGCACGTGGTCTGTAGAAATAATTTCTATGTGTTTTGGAATTTTCACTGGAAAATTTATAAAAATATTTAAAATGATAAAACTACTATCAAGTACAGGTAAGACAGAAGTAGATAATCTCCCAATAATTGTAAATATCCAGCACCATCTATAATAGAGAAAAATCAGGTTAGAATATTAGTTTAAGACATTCCTGGAAGAACAGCTTCTATATCACTAGGTAACATACATTTCATACTTGCTTTTATTACATTTTAGGTATAAATTTTCTTTAGAGACAGTAAAATAAGTACTAATAATAGATACCATTTACTGAAAATCTATATTATATCACTTAATCCTCACAGTCATTCTGTGAGGCTGAGTGGTATTACTCCTACTTCACAGATGAAAAAATCGATTATTCAGGAAAGTTACACATAGTTTTATTCAGTACGGGATAGCTGATCTGCCTAGTTTCAGAACCTGTTTTCCATCTGTTGTATTCTCTATTGTGGTTATGAATCTTTTATGATTTGTTACTTTCTGTATGCAGCTTAGGTTTTATGTTACGTAAATAGTACTCATGATATCCATAGCAATGAAGTTATGATTTAATGACTTACAATTTAAGGGTCACACCTGACTTGACTAACATTGTTGAAATTGCATAATGACCCAAAGGCACTTTGTTTGATAATATTATAACTTAAGGATAAATGATAGCAATCATTACTTGTTTTGCCAGCAGGTGTTCTTGAGCTGCTGAAAGCATGTCAAATACAAATAGAAGTGTATGCTGAATTTATCCTATAGGATAACTGTCTTAAAAGCTAAATATTTGGTAGCTAAGGAGAGAGCTTGAAAATTCTAACTGCTCTTAAGGGGATACTTGTTTAAGTAGTGTAGTTTTATGCTTAGGACTTCTGGTGGCTGGTATTATTTTAAAAATATTTCTAGCATTTGAATAAACTGTTTTTAAACTACAGTCTTCTGAAGAAAATGCTAGTAATTAAGTTGGTCTGGTTTATACCAACTCTAATTTTAGTATTAACTTA